AAATCCAAGGAATCTCTTAACCACTTCATATTCATCCTTCGTCGGGCGTTATGTGGCATATGAAATACGGCCATATTTCGTTTAATTTTGTCATGAATTTATTTTTAACAATTCTTGCACCTTTGTAGTACATCACAAAGGTGCAAGAATTGATCCCTACGGTATACCGGCTCTTACCGAGCGTATTAAAGATGTTTCCAATCCCTTTCAGACCGAGAAAGGAATAAGTGAAAGATAAGATAGTAAATTTAAGGAAGAAATTATTTAACTTTGTAAAGCAATCCTTCGTGCCCAACTCAGTCGAATGATCGAGCAAGATCCTATATGCAGGAATATGCCAGTAGCGTATAACCTATCTCAAGTAATCTACATTTCAAGCATCGTTTGATATTTCGACCTTTTATCCTGAAAAAGTCAAACATGAGAAACTGCTTAAAGTTTGTGACAACTGACAATTGGATAAATACATAGACTCTTTAACTGAATTTCCCTTCTTTCATAAATTAATATTTATCTTTTTACAAGAATATAAACCTAACAACCTGGCTAAAACTGAGATAATTTCAAATCCTTTTGAATTAACATTTCCAGTGTTATAACTATTTTATATTATTTAAATAAGTATTTTGACTAGAAGCAAACATTATTTTAGTTGTAGGGCAATGTTCTGAAACTTCGACTACTAGAAAGGCAATTGAAAAAATACTGTCTGAATAAAAAGGGAATTAAGTCCCTAAAGCATTATAACTCTTCTTGGAACAAACTGCTTCTTGTTTGAATAGAGTGTATAAAACTACTCATGGTCTCTTTTGTGAGAAATAGGTTTCACTTAATCCAGAGGATAACAGCAAAACTATTAATCTTCTCTACCGCTGTCTGCGAAAGCTCGATTTAAGTTAAGAATAGCAATAACTCCTTTAAAGGCCTATTTTCTAAAAGGAAAATCTATGTTACGACGTATAAGCGGTATTCCGAGATATACGCTAGGATGTTATACTTGATATTTTAATATTTACTTCTATAAATACACCGTTATATTTATACCATATATATTTGAATCAAATGTTTAACCAACTATATAATTATATATATATATATATATATATATATATATATATATATATATATATATATATATATATATATATATATACATATATATACACGTATATATCGTGGCATTACATAGATTAAAAATTGGGCCTTTTAAAAAGTTATTTTTATAACTTCAAGTGTTGTTCTACACCTGTCAACAATCAAGAGATAGTTCGCTAAAAATAATGAAACTGACATGTTAGGCATAGGAAAGGATACCACTCAGCGCTATCTCTTCTCAGGCTTGATTTAAGTGACATGGTTTGTTAAGGAAGGAGGTCCTATGCCTTTTTAGTCTCCTCCTCGTATTGATGAACATGTCAGCTGAAGCCATATCTCTTATTAGTATGTCCATGTAAATTTGTATTAAATCGTTGGTAAAAAGCCCTTATGTGTTATTTTAGTCAACTGTTGGTAGGTGGAAACGCAGCCATCGTGGTCTTGAAGGAAACGATGCAGCTAATGTTCTAACCAAGGAAGGTACTTTATTTCTCCAGCCAGCCCCACCTATACCTTATAATTCTACACAACTAATGAAAAAGACAGTTTGTAAAGCAGCGGTACAACAAAAACTAAAAGCTAAAGTTGCGTGAAAATGATCACTTACAAAACAAACTTCCATATGATCTACCAAGAAAAGACTCAGTGGCTTGTTTCAAAATCCTTGCTATTTAGGACAACTTTTATTTTGATTTATTGAGAAGGGAAAAACATGCCATATCTGCGATGGTGAGATGTATAGTGCTACATGGACATGCAACTTGCCTTGGAAGACTTATGAAGGAAAAGTATTTTTTATGTTTATTCCTCGCTCTTCATTGACCTTGGAAAAAACAGGTGTTGGCAACCTTGTGGGGTATGCGAATATTACCAATTAAAATCTATTCATCCCAAGCTTGTTATGTTCTCCTTTCCATGTGGCGTCCGTCTTCTTCTTTTAATATTAAAATTAGTAGGACCATCTTCCACAAAAGATTTGAAGAATGGGTAATTCTCTTCGGTCACCAACTGAGGAAAATCGTTCTCAGCCAGGTCTTAGAGTCCAATTTATTTCAGAAATTTGGTCCTTAGTTCCTCAAAGGCGGTGCACTCCACGATAATATATTGAGCTATCTCCGAAACTCCACGACTGGCGTCTAAGGTATCAATGTATTTTTGTTGGCTCTGCAACTTAGCACGGGAATCTCATGACCTGTGAGGAATGGCGAGAAACAATAGTCAGGGATAATTCATTTCACTTGCAATCGTGACCTGATGGTGGGAAATATCTTCTCATGGTAAAATCTTTCGAGGTTATCACCCACCGCCGATTTCGCTCATCAATGGTATCTTGTTGATGAAAAGTGCCAATGGCAATCCTTAAAGAAGATCTAAATTTTACTGAGCTGCGTACAGTCTTATGGCTAATAAACCTCTACGGCGAATATATCATTCTGTCGAATATATATTTGTCTTCGCCGCTTCATATTTTTTTTTCTGATTTGAATCCTTCAAAATAACTTTTTTTCTCATTAGCTTTCTGAAATAGCTTCAATAGTGACTGTTTGAAACCTTTCTAAAGCCCTTAGCAAATTGGAGAATAACTAAACCAAAAGCCTGCTGGCCGGAGGACAGAGAGCTGATAGAGCTAATAAATGTTAATTAAGAAGCGGGAGATAGGCCATGAATATTGGTGACTCCTTGCCTTGTAGGGGCGGCATATTGATGAGCCCCGCAGTCCTCCCCCCACCTCCAATTATACCATAACAATGCTCCTTATTCATTTTGAAAGCTCAATTAAACCTCCTGCCAAATTGAGCCCCTCTTCAAAATTAAACCACGATTTATTTATTTATTTACCAACCAATCCTGGCTGAATATTATAAACGCTTTCAACTCACAATAATTTGGAGAAATTACACAGTGAAAAATATGTTATTCTATTTTAATGTATTATCATTTCTGGAAGCGATAATTTTGTGAATCGGAATTTGAAATTAAAGATTTTTTAAACACATTCGCTTGATTGGCATTATTTTATAATCTCACATGTCCTTTTTTAATGTTTAGAGCTTAATACCTCATGTATGTATAAAAAAAAAAAAAAAATCTGTACTACTATAATCCATGAAGAGTCTTGGGTTCAGTGCTATTTAGGGTAAGCACTAAGTCAACGGTTGTTCAGGAAGGTGATTTAACCAAGACCGCACCAAATCGCCAGATTCCCCCTTAATTATTAATGAATTAAGATTCCTCACTTTATAGAGGTCGAGTGTGTCCCAGGAGGATCTTCCAACCTCAGTAAAAGAACTCCCGGTCGATCCAAGATCGATGAAACAGTATAAATAATTTATCTGCCCTCAGTCGGATTCGAACTTTCGTGCTCTGGAAGTCAATTCTCAAATAACCTCAGCTATATGAATCTATTATTAATTAGTATGACTGTTAATACTGTTTTAGTTTGCTTGTTTTATCTATTTATTCATTTGAGTGTGCTACTGGCAATCCAAAGCCAGATATCTAAGAATGCAACGATAGTGAAAATTTTAGAACTCATTTGAGTCAGTAAAAGGGCAGGAAACGTAATAGCTTTCATTTGGGCTCCATCACACTGCGGCATACACGGGAACGAACAGGCAGACGTCGCATCCCGAATGGCTCGTAAGCATGTTAACATTAATCTGGTTAAATCCAATAGTGCTAAATGGTGTACGAGTAACGAGGAGGTCTAGAAGAGAAGAAATAATCCTGAGCCGCCTCAGAATTGGTCACTACGAATTTTCGCATGACTACCTTCTCGACTGTTGAGAACCACCTACTTGCGTCAGGTGTGGTTCTCTTAGAACTGTGAACCACATACTCGTGATTGCATACATTATTCAGTTATCAGGAAGAATCTTAACTTGCATGAGACTTTTTTTTTTCTTTTTTTGTCCTCCCCTTCCTCGCCTTTAATGAGGCTATACGGGGTATTCCCGGGTCAGGGAGTGTGAGCGGGGATTTAAAAACTCCTCCGGGCACTGCGACGCGAACTCGTGACTATTTTTTTGTCAAAGTCTTATATATCAGGTTGCAGTGCACACGCGTTAGCCCATTCGGCCACCCCGCCCACCAAAAATTGTTAGAATTGGCCGTGTTACACATGGTCTATGCCTGGGTTTGTATATTCCATCCTTGTCAAGGGGAGCGCTAAACTTCTCTCCTTTTTTACTACACAACTTGCATGAGACTATCCGTGAGAGAGATCTTACTGGACTTCTTGAAAACAATTGGATTCTACAATAGAGTATGAAAAGTGTGAGTAAGTTGAAGATTCCCAATGAGCCCAGCGGGTAGAGGCAAACAATAAATAACCGTTTATTATCATTAATATTTAATTTATTTGTTTTGTTTTTTTATTTTATTTTATTAGTTTTCTTTTTTTCGTAAGAATTTATGCATTACTTTATTTCATTTCAAGTTATATTTATTTGTTTTATTACAGTTTCTACCTTTATATATATATATATATAAATTTTTTATAATAATAATAAAAGGCTTAGCGAACCCGAAGATTCGATGCCGACACCACCTTTAACACAATCTTCGCAGATAAGTTGGAATACAACTCAGGAGGATGTTGATAGTGATGAATATTGTATATTTTTAGAGCTAAACTGAACAAGACCTCTGATATTGATATTTTTAACATTAGTCGTTAGTGCTATAACATTTTCTGTTCTTTTAGAACCAAATTGGATCAAGTCACCTCAATTATTGGCTTTTAATAATAAAGGATCAAGCTCCTTTCATGTTTCTTTATTGGCATTATTCAGTAATTCTCGGAGTAAGGTCTTTGTCATCTACTTACAATAATGAAAGATCTAACATTTGATTTCCTTTTCAGGACGCCAGTAGCCACAGCAACCTGGGAGCGATGCTCCACCTCAACGGGAAAGCCTCCGAAGCGGCTGCTGCCTACCGGGAAGCCCTCCGGCTAGACCCGACGGACTCCACGACGATGGACAACCTGAGGAAACTCCACTCGGTCCGCCCTTCCCTCTGACTAGGAGGATGGTGGGCGAGGTCCCACTGCCCCGTTCAGCGCCTCCAGACAATACTGTGATCTCCCGATCCTGACCACTCTTCTCCACTGCGGAAGAATATACTTGTCCAGAAGCATCTGGCCAGCAGTTCGCACTCGCATCCTCTCGGACGGCAGTAGCGAAGGAGCTGAGCCGTTGGTGAAGAAGTAGAAGAATTCGCTGAACCGTCTTTCGTGTAAATTATATGTGTCATATAAAAAAAAAAATTGGTTTTACAAACAGATGTTCTAATCATTAATGTTTATAAAGAATTTATGATGTAGTTCGATTGGGAAAATTGTTGAAATATGTAATTTAAGGCGAATTTTAATTGTTCAAACCTTAAAATAAATGTTATAATAATCAAAACTAAGCTGTTAGTGATTGAAAATGTAATGTCATACATTCTTTTAATGCTGCTGATATGACCACGGGAACATATAATAACTACTTACAAGTGTTTTATTGAAGTAATTATAATATTAACCAATCTGTTAGAAATACTTCCAAATCTCGATTATTGTTCCCGTGAAATATACCGTTTGCGATAATTTGATTTGAGTAAAAAATTCAAATGAGTAATTATTGCTGTATGACTGCTCTTATAAAATCATTAATTGCATTTTTTTTTCAATGAATAAATGTTCATATAGACAATCTAATGATTCCTAAATCATATTAAAGCACACAAGCACTTGAAATGTTAATATGTTCTCTTCCAAGAAACGTTTCAAAGCTTCATATTAAATCGAGAAATCCTTATCCATATTAAATTGAATTTTTTTATATGTAGAAATAATCAGAGCTTATTAAAAAAAGCTAATTAATGATACGATGGGATTTTATTTTAAGCAGAAAAAAATTAATTATTATATTTTTATCTTTATGTAAACAAATATTCTGAGTGCCATTTTATTTCATCGAATATTGGTTAATTTATTTCAAACTTGTATGCTTACCTGTATTTTTTGTTCGTGTCACAACGATACGAGAAAGGAATGGATTGAGTTAAGTTTTTCTGGCATACTCTTTAAAAATATTTTTGTTGTTTTTTAAGTACCACCACCCTCTCAAGAAAATATTTGTCACATTAATTAAACGGACCGTTGCCTCCCTGTAAATGGATCGCGAATAACCACAAGTCCCCCTGTGTTCGGCTTTACTAGAGACCGAGGCCGGTATCGACAAAGGAAGAAAACGAAAAAGAGTCTAACCTTTGGAAATATATATCATTGGAGGGAGGGGGAGAGTATTAGACTGATTGGACGAGGGGCCTCAATGGAAGGGATGATTGGGGATCGGTTGAGTCAAAGGAAATTATATAAATAAGGTTTTTCGGGGCGTAACAACTCGGGCTCCAATCTGTAGCCTGGACATATGGCCCCAGACCCAAACCCCTACAAACACAAACAAATTCCTTCTCATTTATCCCAAACTCTCCTCGTTTATCCAGACCGTTTTCCAAATCACCGTTCACTCCCCCTCCCTCGACAATCCTATAAAGCCTCCTTATTTTATGCCTCTTTACTGGAACGAGGGAACCTAAAGGTTTTTCGGCATCTCTATTTGGGATCCAGAACTTCATTCTTGCGTCCAGGTGTATTACATTGCTATTTAACGTTAAATTTGTTCCGAAGACTTGAATGATTTTCATATTACTAAGTTTAGCCTACCGGTGGTAGCCTAGAATGAGAAAGATCTGAGATTATTGCATTGCTTTTTCTGAAAGTAAAGTTTATGCAAATGTGATCTCAAAGTTGTTCAAATTGTATATATAAGAAAAGAGATAATATCAGTTCCAGATTTTAATATTTTTCTTATGTTAATTTTCAGATTGATCTCTTCGTACTTTAATACCATCGTACTATCCATACATCTGTTACTATGTATTCCTTAATAGACCATTATAGACACAAGAGATTTTTTTTATGGTCTGGACAATTACAATTGTTATTTTTTTCTCTCCAAAGAATGTCTAAGTGCTCCATAATTTTTACAGAACACTCCAAATTACAAAATGGGTGTTCCAAGTAGACACTTTAAAAATAAACAAGTAATTTGGTTTTCTTGTTATTGAGAAAAATAACTTTTTAAAAACCAAGACTTTTGGAGTTTTCCAAAAAAAAAAATTTTTTTTAAATAAATGGTTGAGCCTAGGACCCATCCGAAGGTTGTAACATGTCTTGTAAATATTTTTCCAAAATGTTTTATTTTAATATAATTAACAATTTGATATTTTACGCGCAGACTCTTGCTCTATCAAAGATATGTAACTGGTATAGACTATCATAGGAACCGATTTCCCTATGCTACACTGAATGAAACCAAGGTAGATATACGATATTATCAATGTTTATATAAGATATTGAAATATGTTTTTTTCTAATTGTAAACTATGACAAATACAAATGCTTCGAAAGGTTTTTTAAAAGACTTTATTTTTGTTCCATGTTCTTAACCTAACTTTTACGTATTTAACAAAAAATATATATATATCTATAGTTATAAAATTTAAATTTAAAAATTACCAAAAAAAAAATAAATGAAAACCTCAGTCTAACAGATTCGATTATATTTAGATATATATATTAGTAACGTTTTATGGGATCAAGTTTATACAGAGCTTCAAGGGATGTGTTAACGATAATAAAGGCTATACTGCGTGGTTGTTCATGTTCGATTCTGGCCGAGTGTTGATGGAAGTGTCGATTCTCAGTGAATTAAGTAGCCTTTACGTTGATTTTTATTTTTATCCTCTATTTTATGTGTTTTTCATGGCTTGTCGCAGCTTGATTATCATGCTATACAGCTTATTTGCAGTCATGTCTTCTGTAACTGAAATAATAAATTCAGGTTGTTTGGCCTATATATTTTATTTAAATATATATATATACTATATTTATTTTCATTTTTAGTGCAGTTTACTCCTACATAATCGAATATTTTACTGATATTTGAACCTGGGCGTGTAGATAATTCAATGTGAATGTTTTCTTTTCTTTTTTGTTTGTAATATATAATAACTGTTAAATAAAAAAAAAATAAAATCAATATTATTCTAACAGTGTAAATTTATGCTGATATTATGTTTTAATTTATAAACTATAGAGAAATACCATTAAAGTATTTTATATTACTTGTATAATTGGAAATTGCATAAATTGTAAATAAATTATTTTTAAATGGTACATGATTTTTATCTTTCTTATCCTTATCTAATTACTAACATGAAAGCATTTGCCAATGGCTTGATTCTCCACCCAAGACATGTGGTTATAGCGTTTGTATTTAATGATTGGCGTACCAATGACGCTGTTGATGTAGTAACGCAGGGATTTCCCGGAGTCACGCTTTTTCCTTTACAGCTGGAGAAACAAGCCTGGTTCGGAGTCCTCTTGGCTGATTGTAAATATTGAATATAGGTGTATATATGTTGGTTTACTTTACTTATCTTTAACTTTACTTTACTTTAAGTTTCTTTTATTTTTATTAATTACAAATAACTGTTTAATAATCATTTAGATATTTGGTTTCTTATTTTATTTAATTTATTTATATTTTTTTACAAACGTGGTATGGATGTACTCTTTTCTCACTTTAACTATTGCCCATATTGTAACAGATTACGCTCATATTACTCAAACAAATAAAATAAAAATTCACAACATTTATTCTTAATAGTTTATCTATTTGTTTTCTAATCCTTAGCCTAATCGCCAATCAATATTCTGAAGTCATTACTTCGTGGTTATTTCCAATCTTCGATCCTTTAGAGCTAAAAAGCCACCTACCCCTTTATTGTTAGGCTGTTTACCAAGGCTTCATTTTCCCCCTCTTTAAATACAAATCCCCAGCCTCACAATATGTTTACCCACTGCCTCCCATATCAAATCCACTCCCTTCAGGAAATCATTATTAATGCCGTTTTGTTTCCCTTTATAATGCCATTTCAATACCACTTATTTCTACAAATGTAAAAACGTTATATAATTCTACAATGCTTTGAACAAATATTTATAATCTATATATGAGATAATTAACAAATTTGTATAGAATGAATTAAGTTTAAAATTAAGTTTGTTAGCCTGAATACTAAAAAAGTATGAAAATGACGCTGCCTCTAAGCATCTTTTCCTAACATATACGCTCAGGTAGATATTGATTATTATTTAAAAAGTAATTGAATAATACCAGGGCTCATTTGTTGATTGTAAATATATTACAGTTGACAAGTGAAATTCAATTACATGATTAAATGCAAATAAAATTATCATAGTGTGACTGAAATACAGTAGTTAAAATTTCAAACGTATCTTCTGAAAAATCTTTAATTTAAAGTGAAGACTTTGCTGTAGCGAACGAGTGATTTTTATGTACTATGTTGTTCCGTAAACATTAAACGAAAATATCTACTTATTACGTGTCAGTTACGCTTTAGTGAGGCGATAAAAATTTTTATATTATTTATTACTTTTATAAATAATCCATATATTTTTTTAAATATAATTATTTTTCATATATCTCACTCAACCGTCCAGCCGTCAGAGCTCATTGTATACTCAACCGTTCACTAAATTATTTAATACGGGAAATGTGACGTGGTTAAGGGGTTCCTTCCAAAACTTTGTGTAAAACATTATTCAAGGAACAAGGGAGTTTAACAACAAAAACAGGACTTTATAATTTGCATGCAAATGAATTACTTATAGCCGAAAGTAGGTTGAGGAAAATGGCTAGCCGTTGTTAGTTCAGCTGGAGTCTTCAACAATGCCCCAATATATTTTTAGTAGAATCACCCTGTTTCTAGGATAATATCATTCCCTTTATGTGATGTTTTATCGTCTTTATCTAACTCGAGATAATTGAAACAATTATTAGAGCATTAATACTGAACCTATTTCAATAAAACAAAGTATGACCGAGTTGAATAATTTAGTATTAATTAATAAGTTATAATTCCAGGTATATTAAATATTTTACTGCAATGTATAAAGATTAATTTTTATGTTTTTCCTTGAAGTCGAACAATACTGATATTTGAATCGTTTTATTTGTTAATAATATAAATAAAATTTGTTGATATTATTTTCTTTGTATTATTATTAGTAATTCATGAACGAAAACATGCCTAGGAGGCTCAAAAGGAGCTGGATGAGAGATCTCCTCTCTTAAAACAATAATAAAATCAAGACAGGAAGGTATGCAGGCTGTATACTCCTCTGTCTCACGTAGATCAAGCCACCACAAGTCTCCTTCCCGACATCACGGTCACTTATTGTTAATACTTCTTACAGATGTGTTTAAAGAAATGAAGTTAAAAATAACAAAACTTAATAACAAACTAACAAAAAGCAATCATGATATAAAATGCGCTTATATAGCCTCAATAAGACCCAAATCACATATTAATTAAAATAATTTATTATGATTTTACTTTTTTTAATATTTAAAAATCTTAATCAGTATAACTAAATTATACTGTTTTTTTTCTACTTGTAATGTTTTTGGTAAATACCGAAATCTAATAGAGGTTGCTACACTGATCAGTAATCATATATTTGTTTTTTTACAAAATTAATAAATCGATGTAGTTCATCAGATTGCTATTACATCATTTTCCAATCAGCAACCAAATACTTGCAAATATGGGTTAAAATTATAACGATACAGTGTAATACAATAAAAACAATTATATTATTATAAATTATATAATATTTAAAAAGCTTTTTTTTTTCTTCTAACCCCTAAAAGTTTATTTAATTATAATTGCATATGTAAGTATAACAAATACTTAAATATATACAAAGAACAAGGTCCTTTCACTGTCCGAAGGCATTTTAAGGATTGGAGATAGGTAAGGATAACATATGTGGCAAGAGACCTTGAAACTTTCATTTATGCTGTTTATAATATTTAAGCTATATACAATATATACAAATTAATGGGTTTGGACCGCAAAGTCTAGAACACATCCTTAGGACGAATATGTCCACCAATGGTTTACCTTGCCACCTCCCAGGTCTGGGTGGTGGTGAGAGCTCATTAAATAGTGGATTTACCCAGACCTTTAACCCATCAAAAAATTTGATGTGCCTTCGGCCTTTTTATATAATTATGACTATCATTATTTAAAATGCAAAGATTTTAACAGAAGTAAATACAAATGCAATAAACAACAGTCACCTACTAAAGAAATAGTTCTATGCATTTCAATCTGAGCCTATTGATGCAGAAAGTTGCGACAAAAAGCAATTTAAATGTGGCTGTGGAAATATTGAAAAAAAAAAAAAAAAAAAAAAAAAAAGGAGATCGTTTAATTCATTTAGATTACAGAAGGGGCTGATTATTTAAATTTAAAAAATATTATAAACATAATAAATCGATATATCCGTATGATATTAATTTTCCTGTACTGGAGTTCATTTCGTTTTATTGATTTTGATTAGTTTAATTTTATTTTATCTTTTAGAATTTTTGATTAAGTATTGCGTAGAATATTCGGACCGAAGAAGGATGAGTTATCGGAGAGTTCAGACGGTTACACAACGCCGAATTGCGTGAGCTGTATCCGGGTAATATAATTGAGGTCATTTCATCGCGGCGAATCAAATGGGCTTGTAAAGTTGTTGGGCTTAGTAACGAGAGAATTCCTAA